AAAATTTTGTTTAAAAAAAAAAAAAAGAAAGACAATGGGATGGACATTGGATGTAGGAGCGAACAAGTAACAGAACAGCAGCCTACCACATAGGGCCTCTGAAAGACTACCTAGCAATGTATCAAAGCAGATATTAAGACTCATAACCAAACCTTCGGCAGAGTGCAGGGAATAAAATAAAGGGGGGGGGGAGTTAATATGACCTGGAGAGGACAGGAGTTCCACAAGGACCAAATATATCTGGGCACAGGGGATTTTATGAGACTGCTTTTCCAAACAAGGACAATGTATGGATGCAACTTAGAGCCTCTGCTCAGATGTAGCCCTTGGTAGCTCAGTATCCAAGTGGAAACCCTAATAAGGGGAACAGAGACTCTTTCTGACATGAACTCAATGGCAGGCTCTTTGACCTCCTCCCCCCACTCCCATTCCCCCGCTCAGGGAGGAGCAGCCCTGCTAGGCCACAGAGGAGGACTTTGCAGCCAGTCATGAAGACACCTGATAAATCAGTATCAAATGAAAGGGGAGAAGGTTCTCCCCTATCAGTGGACTTGGAAAGGGGTAGGGAGGAGATGAGGGTGAGAAGGTGGGATTGGGAGGGAAAGAGGGAGCAGGATACAGCAAGGATACCAAGTTAAGAAACTGTAACTAATATTAAAAAATAAAAATAAAAAAAGAAATAGCCCTTATTAAAAGTAGGAGCGGCTTTTTATAGTCATGCACAAGCCTGAGGTTCATAGCAAGTGATTACAAAAACATATTTTTTTTTTTTTGCAGTTAGTAATTTAGTTACCTATCAGCCAGTTCTCGGAACATACCATGAACAATGGAAAATATATATGTTGTGTAAATATCAAGATTATAGAGAAAGAGCAAGTCACAAAAACAAGTTGACTTTTAACTTGAGACATGATTAGAGAAACCGTCATAGGGAACAATGTAGAAATAAATCAAACCTTAATATTAGGTTTATTTATGGAAAGAAAGTAGAAAATGGAGTCAGTCAGAAATACAACTTTTATTTGTTTTCTTGGTTTGAGACAGGGTCTCACTTAGAAACGCAGCTGATATTGATTCACTAAGTACACTATAATGTATAATGCACATTGAATCTGTAATAAATAGTAGAATATATTTAATCCTGTGCCTTTGGACATAATTCCTAGCAAGACAGTCTTCTACAGAAAAGGGATCTGAGTAGTTATTTGATATTCAACTGATTATATACAAAAGAGGATGTTCTTTACAGGTTTGCTTCTTCGTGGAAGTCTAGACTAGTTTATCATGGGACACTCCTAACCTCAAAGTCATGGGTCTGTTGCTACTTTCTCTAGAGCTAAAGTTAAGCAAAACTTCTTACCTGATTTTTTAAGTGGGAGGGGGAGATTTTCTGTGTTCTGAACCTCTCTGTAATTACCTTTCTATTGCTGTTATAAAACACACTATGGCCAAGGCGAATTATAACTGAAGGCATCAAATTGTCTTACAGTTCCAAAGGGTTAGAGTCAATGATGGTAGCATAAACACATGGCAAGAGGAAGAGCTGAGAGCTTACATTTTGAACCTCAGATAAGAGGTATAGCGCACAGTGGGCATGGTCATAAGCTTTTAAAGCCTCAAAGTACACCCATGTGATACACCAATTTCAAAAACACCACAGGTGTGTGCCTTTCCAAACAGAGGCACAAACTGGAAAATAAGTGTTCAAGTGTTAGAACCAGTTTCATTCCTAGGACTCACATGGCAGCTCACAACAGTCTGTAACTATATTTCCACAGAATATACACATTTTACTAGTTGGGTATAAGCTGGAATCTGGCACTGACTTGGGTGATTACATAGATGAGGTTTTCTGTGAGTCGTGACATATATATTGAAAAATTGTTACTATAAAATATACTTCTGTCCTACAAGGGAACATGAAAAAAATTGGTTACTGTCCTCTGAGAGTAACTGACAATATGTGATGTAAAGAATGAAAGGTATATTCTAGCTGATAGTTCCATGGAAAATATTCCATTATGGTAGAAACGTTTTGGGGACAGTGTTGGGAATCTAGCTCAATAACCAGAGTGAAGTCATAAGTCAGAGATCAAATAGAAACAACAGCTATAAACCTTGAATATTTGATAGCAATCCGTTTCTAAAAGGAGGCTACATTTACAAAAGGTTGCACAACCACAAAACAGCATTGACAGCTTGGGATCCATTGTTCAAACAAATAAAGTATTGAAGATATTTCATATTCAGACCATAAATGTTAATTCTGGAGCCAAATATCAGTGACCATGACTTTGTTTTTTTTTTTAAATATATTTTTAAATTTGTATTTATTTTTTATTAATTACAGTTTATTCATTTTGTATCCCAGATATAGCCCCCTCCTTTGTCCCCTCCCAACTCCACCCTCCTTCCCTCTTCTCCACCCACGCCCCTCCACAAGTGTGACCATGACTTTGTAATGTGGAATAGATTAATACAAATTATCTGTTCTTGTATAATAACAGTCTCATAGGTTTTTTCACCTATAATAAAACAACACAGTAAGTTAAGAATAAAGGCATTTGCAATTTATTAGTGGAAGCATGACATAGGTGTGTTCCATCAAAGTGAGAAAATGTCTCTTATAGACATATTAGGCCTCATTACAATGTTATTATGGATGAACACTAAAGCAGAATGACAGTGGAGACCAATGTCATCCTAATGCGATATGGAGCGCAGGAACAGATCACATACTATGTTACCATGAAGTTCAATGTCCTCTTTCTTTTTTGTTTGCTTGGCTCACTTGCAACAATCATGCTAGGACATCAAGAAACTCTGTATTAGTGACAATTGAAACATTTCTCTTCTTTTTTAGAAAGAAAGTCTAACTGTAATAGGATTTTATAATGAGGGCACCATTAAGTACTAGTTGCTCTTATATGGGGCCAAAATGATTTGAAAGAGAAAAGGCTTTCTCTTTAGGTTATCACGATCAAATTATATTGAATTGCTAAGATGATAGCCAAATCAGATTTTGGCAAGATTAACAGGGGTTTGGAGTCAGTGGTCAATTCTCTTCACTTCCTCTGCACAATAGTCCAATGCTGTAGCAGGTTATGACAGCAGCTTGGAGGTTCCAACAAAAGTTCACTTTCCCCTGCTCTCCATTTCTGTTCTATATCTCTGTTTCTTGTATCACCTTCCAAGCTCTCAACATTGCATTCAAATCTCTGCCTCAGACCTGCCTTTGGGAAGAAGTCAGGGACTCAGGCATAGCCTCCTTTGTCAAGCCTTTCCCAAACAAAAGATGTTTGTAAGAAAATTCTCCATTTAGAGTTTTCTGTACCTCATGTTGCCTGTGCAACATCTTTTTGTGTCCAGATATGGTGCCAAATATATCATTGCAGTCACCTTGTGCCTCTCAGCATCTCTAAATAGTCCTGCTTAGCTCAGAAGAGTACACTCTCTTAAACTTGACTCATCCTGATGGAAAGAATTTTCAGGACACAGTTGCTTCAAAAGAGGCACTGAGAGACACCTAGGGAAGGTCACTGCAGAAGTTGCAGGATCAGTAAGTGGCATTCATTTACACCATCATCTGTGAGGCTGATGCCATCCAGAGCGTATGAAATTCAGGTCACTAGCCTGAAATCAATACCTGGTCCATAGAAAATCTAGATCATGTACCCAATGTGTGTGGACATCACTGGCACCATCTTCTTTCTGTTTGACTTAGGATAATCACCTAGTTCACGTAAGGCTGCAAAGAA